GCAGGTCGCTGTGTCTTTTCCATCTCAATTCCTAGTTCCCCCATGTGTGCTTTCTAAATCAGAATGGATTAGATGAAGAGACTGCTATGAGTCCCGGGCGGGGGGCGGGGGCGGGGGGTTCTCACAGGGTGGGTCTTGCTGATTGCATCTCGGAAGTGTTGAGTAGCATTGTTCTGTCTTCTGCATGTTCTGTCCATTGGTTGTAGGATCTGTGTTTAATTGCTTCTTTACACTGTTCTCCCTTCAAGTTCACTGATGCTTCCCTCTGTCTACTCTGTTCTGCTGCTGAGCCCTTCCAGTAACGTTTTAATTTCAGTTACTGTACCTTTCAGTTCTAAACTTTCCATTTGGTTCTTTATCTCTTTGCTGAGATTCACTGACCCTAGGCTATCAGATCATCTAAATCACAGGCGGCAAACAGAAGGCCCGCGGGCCGAATCCGACCCTCCACCTTGTTTTATCCGGCCCAGCACCTTGCTTCTACCCAGTGGCAGCACCGAGCTCCCGCTTAACTGTTAAGAAGTAGTTACGTTTATACAGTCCTAAAGTTACACTTAGCCCTTTGAAGACAACCTTGAGGTTGATGTGACCCCCAGTGAAAATGACTTTGACACTCCTGATCTAAATGATATGTTTTAAAATGTGAATACGTGGCCCTGACCAGTGTGGCTCAGTCAGTCGACTGGGTGTCATTCTGCAAAGTGAAAGGTCAGCAGGTTGATTCCCAGATGGTGCATGTGTCTGGGTTGCAGGTTCGGTCCCTAATCAGAGCAGGTACCAGAGGCAACTGCTCGATGTTTCTCTCTTATGGCAATATTTCTCTTTCTTCCTGCTTTCCCCTCTCTAGAAACAAAATCTTTTAAAAACATGAACACATGGTAGTGTGGCAAAACGTGGTAGTCAGCCCCCAAGGTGGCTCCCAGTGATCCCCGTCTCCTCGTCTTCACACCGTCTGTCATTCTACCAATCTTAGCTTGTGTAAAGCAATGGCGCCCGGCAGGAGTGATGGTGCACCTCCTCTGAGACTGGCTCATAGAACACTGAAGCTTCTGTCGTGGGCGTGTTCTTTCTTCCATGCACACACACTCAGGCCACTTGCTCTGGGGGCAGTGGGCTGTCCTGTGGTCAGGAGGCCCAGGCAGTCTTCAGAGGTGTCCACGTGGTGGGAAACTGGTCTCCAGCCAACAGCCACGGAGACAGTGAAACCTGCACCTATGACACGAGCGTCTCCACAAGCATATCCTCCTCCAGTTAAGCCTCCAGATGAGTCTGAAGTGCCAGCAAAGTTTGAGAGACTCTGAACCAGAGCGACCAGCTCAGCTGGCTCCAGACTCTGGCTCACAGAAACTATGAATTTTCCTTTTAATCCTCATCTGAAGAAATGTTTTTTGATTTTAGAGAGACAGGAATGGGGATGGGAGAGAGAGAAACATTGACTGGTTGCCTCCTGTATTACCTCTGACCAGGGATCAAACCTGCAGCCTTTTGGTGTACAGAACAATGCTCCAACCACTTGAGCCACCCAGCCAGGCCAACATGGTAAGTTCTTCTAAAGCTGTTCAGTTTTCAGAAAATTTGCTATGTAGCAGATAACTGATACATCGGGATTTGTACCTGAGTTCCTGCTCAACCACTTTCTAAAAGATTCAGGACAAGATGGATAAGCTCGCTAGCACCAGCTTCTCCACTTGGAAATTGATGGCCATTCTTGCCTCACCTACTTTTCAGGGTGGTTCTGAGTCTCACAGAAGACAAAACATTACACAACTATTAATTCTTCAAGCCTAGTCCCCTATGTTACAGATGAGAAATAGGAAACCAACAGGAGTGAAAAGAACAGACTGATGAGGCATCGATGTGCGGAGGAGTCACACAGCTTTTCCTCTACAGCGCATGACAAATGCAGAATAAATGCAAGAGCGTCAGAGTTGCTCCACTTCAGCCCTCACATCGCAAAGCTGACACAGCCAGTCACTCCTTCCTTCACTGTGTTCTCTGCCAGTCCAGCCAACTCACTAGGTTCAAGTGCGGGCGCTCAGCCCGGTGCCGAACACCGTTTCTTTGCACAAACCACGGTCATTAGGCAAATAGCTCCTTTCTTTAAAAGCTTGCTAGGTAAGTTGATAACAGTATCTTTAAACTACAAATACTCTTTTGTTATGCAAGCTTAGTAAGAAAAATAGTTGACTGAGAGGAGAGAAAAGAGGATAACAGCATTTTGACCCAACGAGGGAGAACCATTTGGGCAACAGTGATTTATCTCAATGGAGTTCAAATTTTTTAATTAAAAATTTTTTTTCTCAAAGAAGTATTTTTGTAAACCACCGTACCATGTGCTTTCCCTCAACTTCAGTCTACTGGTAGGGGAGAAATTTGGTTTGTTTTTTTGTTTTGAAAGATTTATTTATTTTTAGAGAAAGGGGAAGGAAGGGAGAAAGAGAGGGAAAGAAACAATGTGTGCTTGCTTCTCACACGCCCCCTACTGGGGACCTGGCCTGCAACCCAGGCATGTGCCCTGACTGGGAATCGAACAGGTGGCAACCCTTTGGTTCACAGGCCTGCACTCAATCCACTGAGCCACACTAGCCAGGGCAGAAAGTACAGTTTTAAAATGTTGCAAAGAATCAGATAAATAAAAATGTGTATGTTGTCTCAGACTGCAAGGGAAAATACAAACATAAAATAGTTGTGCTGGAGTGGTAGGATCAGTTTTTTTGTCCATTCCTAGTTTCATTTTTAATTTTAAAAAATGTTTACAAATAGTATATAAAATAGTATTTACACACTATGTGGTGACATATTTTATATATAATTTATATTACATATTTGCATTATATTTTTAGTTTAAAGATTCAAATTTTATACAATGTCTGTTGTGACAGAATGGGATTGAATAGATTTTTTGGATTTACAAAATAACCAGTTATGGTTTAGCTTCTCACCCTTCATGCATGTCCACTACGATTCTTTAGCTGCAAGCAACAGAAACCCACTCTGACTAGACAGGAAGAGAACCTTGTGGAAGACCGTGGGAGAGAGTCCAGGACCCACGGTGGGCCTCCGGGCAGCAGGCAGCAGGCGGCCCCAAGAGCACCCACGCCACGGAGCCAAAGGCCCTGCACTGCGTAAGTGAGCTCGCACCGACCATTTCTGCTTCCTCTGTGTTTGTTCCCAGGGTCTAAGATGCAAAGTCCTGGCAGGATGAGTTTTTTTGTTTTGTTTTGTTTGTTTGTTTGCTTGGCCAAAGACATGCCAAGCTAGAATGTCCTGAGCTGATGAACTAAAGAGGGAGCTGAAAGGAATCTCCCTGGTCCCTTGCATTTCCACGAGGAAGAACAGAACACTCTGAGGATCCCACCCCACCAGTGAAGGCAGCCCTCAGCAGCAGGCAGAGAGCCACCCCACAGGGAGATGAGAACACTGACTGGCAGGCCCAGTGTCCACTGAGCTGCAGGACCGCTGTCACCACTGACCAGAAGTTGGTGAGAGCGGGAACTGTCTTCCATGGGTGGTGCAGAGGGACCGGCTGAAGGGAACTGAAGGGCCCTCTACCGACCTGGTCATGGACTTCTTCTCTCATTATGCCTTCATTAATGCTGACATCTCCTCCCTGGGGTGGGGAGCCTCCGCCAGTTTTGAACATGCAATGCGTGTAGAGGCATGTTTACTGACTGCACAGGCACAGGAACGTCCCCACCCATGCATGCGATGACGAAGCACACATTTATGTTTGTGCATGATCTCCCCGAGTAAAGACAAACCCAGCGCTCTGTTCCGGGCACGCTCGGCTCTGCGAGCAACTCCCAGCGTGTTCCTTGCTTGCTGGCGTGCAGTAAACCTCCTTCTCATAAAATCTTAGAGTCATCTTTGGCCAAAACTCCTGACTACGTGGACCCTGTTTGGGTCTGGTAACAATAGGCGTTGCATAAATATGAAAAGGGAAAGGGAGCTACATGTTTAAGCAATACTGGTGACACCAAATCGACAAGTCCAAGTCTGTCTAGATAGCTAACAGACCACCATTCTGCTCTGTTTTGAAGATCTTACTTTAAGATCCTTAAAGGTAACCATTAAACCACATATCCTCAGGAGAGGAATTCCACATGGCTTTCAGACACAAGTTGTTGAACCACATTTTTGACAGAAGCGAAAGTGTCGACAATTTTATTAACATTCAGTGTTAAAAGGGTACACCAGGATATAGAAGTGCTGCTTCTTAAAACAGTCACCCTTCAGGGTTCGTCCTTTGTTTAGGAGTTGTGGAGCTTTGGCATTTTTATGTGAAGTGCTTTATGAATCCCTGGTTTGGTCCGGGGATGGGGAATGACTCCTTCAGGGGAGAAGAGACAGTATCACACCTCCAGGCTCTCGACACATTGTTCCCGCACAACAGGCTCCCTAATGTCTTCTGTGGGTTAGAATTTGCTCTAAATTGCCTGGAGGCTCCCTGAGAGGAGAATTTGAAGGAGGATGGCATTGAAATATTTCTTGAGATGGATCTTAAATGCAGGGTGTGTGTGTGTGTGTGTGTGTGTGTGTGTGTGTGTGTGTGAGAGAGAGAGAGAGAGAGAGAGAGAGAGAGAGAGAGGGAGAGGGGGGAGAGGGAGAGGGAGAGAAGAGTGGGGGGGGGGGGGCGGGAGAGCATACCTATCCTAAAATCTAACACCTTGGTCACTGTTAAGTGGAGACTTCAGGGGCACTGAGTACATCCACCTTGCTGTGCAGCCACCACCGCGTCTTTCCGAACCGCAGACTCTACTCACTAAGCAAACCCCGTCCTCCCCACCCATTCAGCCCCTGGACACCAGCACTCTCCTTTCTGTGTCTAGGAGCTGGACTCCTCCAGGTCTCTCACGCAAGTGGAATCACACAGCAGTTGTCCTTTTGTGTCGCTTATTTTTAAATGCGGTTTTGACACAGAGGGTACTAGCTTTACTGCAAGGAAGGAGGCAACGGGTGCAGCTGTTACTTCTAGGTCACAAGTCTCCAACCTGGAGCCCTTAGCTGAGTCCCTGGATCTGAACCCTCTGCAGGGGACAAGTCTCCTCATCACAAGGTTTTCATAAGAGATTGAAATTCAAAAGTTGCTAATCACTGCTCTGGGTCTTCTCTGCTTTGAGAGCACCCTCGTGGTCCCAAACCAAGATGAGCTGCCTCTGGTCAGCAACGTTCACCACCCTGGTCAGATTGATTGTACGGCTCTGGATTTGCCGATGAATCAATTTTGACACCTCACAGAGTATCACTCAGTCTGTCCGCCCCCCGGGCACACGTTTCCCTGGCCACTTAAGAACTTCAAGCTGACCCTCCTTACCTAACAAAAACGCAAATCAAGACCACAATTAGATACCACTGCACACGCATTAGGATGGCTACAATAAAAATAAAAAGAAAATAACAAGTGTTGGTGAAGATGTTGAGAAATGGGAATGCTTGTGCACTGCTGGTGGGAATGTAAAATGGTGCATCCACTATGGGTACCAGTAGGTGGTTCATCAAAAATTAAAAATAGAATTACCACCCTGGCCGGTGTGGCTCAGTCATTTGGAGCTTCGTCCCTAGACCAGTGGGTCGTGGGTTCTATCCCCCATTGGTAATTTACGAGAAGGAACCAATCGATGTTTCTCACATAGATGTTTTTTTCTCTCTCTCTGTCTCTCTGCCCCCACCTGCCCCCATTCCTGTCTCTTTTTTAAAAAGCAACAACAAGAAAAAAATGTTGTCAGATGAGGATAAAAACAAAATAGAATGACCAAATGACCCAGCGATTCCCCCAAAGGTCCAGGTTCACACCCAAAGGCACTGAAAGCAGGAACTTGAACAGACACTTTTACCCCCACGCTCACAGCAAGTCTTCACAACAGCAAAGAGCAAAACCACCCACGTGTCCGCTGATGGATCCATGGCACAGAACGCGGTGCCTCTGCACACTAGAATGTTCTCTAGCCTCACAAAGGGAAGACGTGCTGACATGCACTACAACATGGTGAACCCTGAAGGCGTTATGCCGAGTGAAATAAGCCCATCACAAGAGGACACGTACTGTACGGTTCCACTTCAGTGACATGCTTAGCGTAGTCACAAGTACAGAGACAGGAAGGGAAATGGCGGTCACCAGGGCGTGGGGGAGGGGTGGGGGAGGAGTCAGCATTCAACAGACCCGGAGCTGTGGTTTGGGAGGATGGGAAAGTTCCCCCGTGGACAGTGGGGAGGGATGCACAGCGATGTAAGTGTACGTAACGCCACTAAAATATCCCCTTAAACAATGGTTAAAATACTAAATGGTATGTTATGCGTATTTTACCACAATAAAGTTTTACAAAAGGTCTGACGTTATCTGACCATTATTCCTGGCTTCCTGCAGAAAACTTAGAAGCCTTTTGCAAATCCAGCCCCAAACACCACAGCTGAGAAACAGGCAAAACGCAGTGAGTAGTGAAAATGGTTTTCAAAAGCTGGGTCTGCCTTAGTTGTCTGCATTTTTCAATAAAAATCCAGTTGAGCATCTTATCCCTTCCCATATTCCTGCCCTGCCCCCAGAAAAGTCAAGCAGGAAAGAAAGTAAACTGGGAAGCCAGAGGTGGTGGGACCAGCTGCTGTGGGAGTCAAGCAGTTTCCAGGAGCCCAAAAGCTGCTACGCAAAGGCGGCCAGTTCGCCATGCCAAATCCTCCCTGAAGGAGCACCGCTCCAAACCCCAACTTCGGCTCATCCGCCCCACAGCAAAGCCACCTGCCAGGTGACCACCTGCCTTCATAGGTGGCCTGCCAGGGGCGTGGACACTCCTGTATACTGCGGCAGCCTACCTCAGAAAAGTGGTTCTCAATAATGCTCTGAGCGGTCAGGGCAATCTGACGGTTCTCATGATACTGAAGAGCCTTGATTCTGTCAAGCCCGCCACGTTCCTCAATCGGGACACACAGGGATTCCATCTCGGGGAGCTCGGGGAGGGATTCCATCGTTGCCTGGGGGGTGGGGAGGAGGGAGAGAGTAGAGCTGGGCCAAAGCCCCAGGGTCTTCGCTCCAGGGCCAGAACTCTTGGTCCCCACATGGATGGAAACCTACATGGTCTTCCTCCCACTTTGGACATTTATGTCATATACACTTGGGTTTCTCTTCATTGCGAAAATACAGTATTTCTTCTGCTGAGTATGCGGCCATCCATCAATACATCGCTGCCGCTATTTGGTAGCTATCCCACCTCTACTGGTAGACGTTGTTTTAAGTAACAGTTCACAGAACATTCACACAGTGCCACGTCAGTGCAGATGTCCTGGCCCTGCACGCCGGGAGGCCTCGAAAGGCGAGGCTGGAGACCCTCAGGAACAAAAGCCACACTGTGGCCAATGACGAAGTTGCCCGAGACAAATGACTTGAGAAGATTTCATCCAATGCGGGTCACCAGATTTGTCATCGGAGCTACTCACTCACTCACATGGGTCTATGCACCATGGATGGGGCACACGCAAATGAGATGGGACTTAGAGATGTGTGCTGTGTCACTCACACAATCAGGGGAAACAAGTAGATAATTGTTAGGTACAGAAGGTCAGATGCACTAAACGACCAGAGGTATAAGTTACAGAAGACGTGCATGGGAGGCTGGAAAAGTGACCCCAGTTCTTAATGAGCAACACTGGGGGGCGGGGGGTCCGTCAGACAAGTGACCTTCCCAGGACAAGCAGCAGCGAGGACCAAGCTTTGAAGGAACCAGGGCTGTGCATTGTGAGGAGAGGGACTATTTCAGCTGAACAGCGTATCTGGGGAAGTGGAGGAAGATGGAAAAACCTTGCTGACATACCCGGGGGGCTCTGCTTGCCATTTTGTGAGCAGTGGCAGAGACCCTCCAGTGGGTGAAATTACAGACCTTTGGGCCACACGATTTTCCCAATGACAGTTTGCACTGTATGTCTGAGCCTCAGTCACCTCCGGCCCTGTGAGCTACTGGATTTGAGTGAGCAAAGCCAGAATCAGCCTGCGAGGGTCAGCCTCAGCAAGAAAGCTGGGCAGGGGTGGGGTGGGGGGCCGCAGGAGCCCTGGCCAAGGATTTTGGCCCCTAATAGCAAATGGCCCCAAAGCTGCTTCAAAGAACCTCAGCTCAACTCTGCTGCCCATTTGAAGTGTTTTCTGTCTCATGCTGAACTTCTAACCTTCCCTCCCAAGTACCTCTCTGTCTGAGACAGGGACTTTGCTGACCTGCCGGATGTGATTTGCCCAGACTCTCCCAAGAAAGAAGCCCAAGTGTTTAATCGAAGCGAAGCAGGTGAAGTTAAATTCCCATAAAAGCTCATGTTTGCTTTTATAGGCTGGTTACGTCCAACTTAGGCGGCTGGCCACCAAGCCTCTGCTCTCTGTGTGATGCACTCAAAGTCTCCGCATCTAGCTGGACTGTGTGTCCAACCTGTTCTCAACTCAGGTCAGTTCTTCCCGAGACAGTGACATGAAAAGGGTGCTTACAGTGAGTTTTCTAACGGAGCTCCCTGGTGTCACTTTGAAACTTTTCAAACAGCTGAGCTGTATTGACAAGGACCTGAACTGAGATGGCCCCGGGTGACCCCGGCCCCGGTGTTCGTGCCCCTGTGTTGGTGCGAGGGTTACCTAGGGCCGATCTGTGTAACCAGTAGGATGCTGTTGAAGTGACCTCCTTTATAGGCCATGAAAGACATGGGGCCTTCCACCTTGCTTTCTCAGATTCCGTGCCCCCGAGGCAGCCAGCTGCCGTGACGTGAGGACACTCAAGCTGCCATCTGGAGAGGTCCAGGCGGTGAGAAAAGCCTGGCAGGCACACGAGTGAGCTGTCCTGGAAGCCGATCCTCCAGCCTCCATCCAGCGGTCCGATGAGACTGAAACCCCCAACTGACATCGTGAGCCTCGTGAGGAACCCTGAGCCAGAAGCATCCCGCTAGGCTATTCCTAGATTCCCAACCCTGCACACTCTATGAGATGATGAATGTTTGTTTTAAGTCCCTAAGGGGTAATTTGTTATGCAGCAATATAGAACTGAGACGAACAGTCATATAAAAATATTGCCTTAACTTACCTTTCTATCAGAAATAAGACCTGTCTAGAGTTCTAATTCAAGGTTTTGCAGTCTATATTCCCAGCCATATAGTTGAAGAGAAAAGGAACTCTAGCCCTGGCTGGTGTGGTTCAGTGGACTGAGCACTGGCCTGCGAACCAAAGGGTCGCTGGGTCGATTCCCAGTCAGAGCACATGCCGGGGTTGCGGGCCAGAAGCAACCGATCGATGTTTCTTCCACACATCAGTATTTCTATCCTTCTCTTTCTCCCTTCCTTCCCCTCTCTCTAAAGATAAGTAAATAAAATCTTTACCAGAAAAAAAAGGAACTCTAGTCTGACCTCTTAACATACATCCCTACTAACTTCTCGCTGCTCCTCCCACTGTACCCTAGGCTTTAGCCATCAGAAACAGCCAACTGGGAGGCTCACTGACCGTGTTTCCCTCCTTCAGACCTTCACCTGGGTTCTCCATCTCACTCAGATAAGTCCAAGTCCTCACAGACTTATGTGATCTGCCCCTGGGGGCCTGGAGCTTGATCTCCCGCCACCTTCCATCCCTTCACTCTGCCCTGGCCACACCCACTGCTTGCTTTTCCTAGAATATTCTTCCCCAGACACCCACAAGGCTCACTTACCTCTCTGAGGCCTTTTCTCACATGCTGCTCCTCAGAGAAGTTTCTCCTGACTACTGCACATGAGAGACCACCTTCCCTTCCTGCCCCAAGCCATCGGTGACTACTTCTTGTCAGACACATTCACCCACAACGCCCTGGCTGACCTGTCCACTCCCCTCCCCGCTATGACATGAGCTCTGCAAGAGCATGGACTTTGCCCTGCCATATCCTAAGCGCCTAAGACAGTGCTGGGCACAAAGACCCTCATTTGAGGAAAGGAAGATAACGTCCCTCTTTGAAAGCCCTCTCATTACTGCCAGCCACAGGGTGTGTGCACTGAGGGCAGACATGAGGGAGTGGGGAGGGAACAGAATCCTACTTGAGTTTTAAGAGTGAAACAAAATGTCTCAAGTTCAGAGACTGCCATTTTAGAAGCCATCCTGTCCAGAACAGCTCACCTGGAGGAGTAAAAAGATGATGTCAAGGACATTGATGACAACGTTCATGTCTGGGATAATGAGCAGGTTCACCAGCAGCTCGAGGACTCCAGAGTGGATGAGCTGGATCATTTGGTCCAGGGTGCCCCCACTGATGAAGTTAGCCACCGCACAGACAGCATCCTTCTGGACTTGAAAGTGTCCCTGGAGGAAGAGAGCTGCTTACGTTCTTTACAGATCCTGAGGGACTTAAATATAGTGACACTAACTTGGGTCAGGTTCCAGGTTGGCTGGGGACGGCCAGGACTCTCTGTGCAATTGACACACAACACCTGTGGACCTGCCTCTAGTTCTTGAGCAGAGGACAGCATCTTTGAGAAGCCAAGAAGGAGGCTGGAAGACTCCTATGGAGCTTTAGAGGGAGGTTCTACATTCAAACTTATTTCATTAACTCAGAGTAGGGAAAAACAGAACCAACCTGAACCAGTCCAGGTAACTGATACAGATTGGGAGCTACACTCAGAATATGAGACTCTGATGGCCTGAGTGTACATTTCTGGTCTTTCTGCCCTAGTGAAACTTTGGACAAGAAGCTCCATAGCTACAAAGCTGAGCTCACAGACGTCACCTTGGGGACTGAGACAGACCTGTGGTTACAGAAGAAGGCCACTGAAATACCGCTCAACCCATTCCTTGCATTTATGAAAGCACCAGGCCCAGAGACATGGGACTGATTTACCATGCATTCTTCTATCCCTGGGCAGAAGGAGTTATTCCCATTTTGTGGCCAGGGAAAACCGACCTCAGTTCAAAACAAAAGTCAAAACCCAAACAACTTATGATTCCAAGCAAGGTATTGTTCAGAAGGCACAGTTTGAAATAAGATTCCTTCTTGATTCACAACTGGATGTTACTGATTAGAATACGTGCAGACGCACCAGGGAACTCAGGACGGGAGTGTGCGACAGACTGGAGGGTGCTCTGATTCGGGCTGCACACCTGGCCTCGCTTTCATCCCTCATGACAACCTGGGACCCCACCACCCAACCTCAGAGCAGAAACCGCTCAGCAGAAAACCAGAGCTCAAACATTACAGGTGACAGTGATAAATGCTGGTGACAGTGGTTGTTCCGGGGAGGGGAAGTGGGAATCAGGAGGGAAGAGGAAGCTTTACTGCATATCCACTCTTGCATTTAGACTTTCATGCATAGTGCCACTTTCATCGATGTGACTTTTAATACTGAAGAGCCCACCCTCTTCAGTGCATAAGATCAGCACAACCTGACATGTTTTCCCTCCTAAAACAAAACAAAACCTCCCTCCTCTTTCCACAAGTAGAGAGTAGATGGCACATTCTTTTCAGATTATTTACCAGCTTAAGATTTTTCTGGATATCTGGGCTATGGGGCTGACTTTTTATTGAGTAATGCTTGTTTAGTTTTTAGATTTCCCATGGATGGTCCAAAATGGGAGGCCACTTCTTTTTTTTTTTTTGGAACTAATATTTCATAGTTTTGTTGTGGCCTCAGTTAACTTGCTTCTGAGCCCATGTCTGCATTCCTGCAAGAGCCCAGCACTGAGCCTGTGAGAAAGTAGCCTTCTGTCGAGGAAACTGAATGTGCCACTTACATTTCTCAGGAGAGTCACCAGGGGAGGCAAGATGTTGCAAGCAATGAGCTGCTGGAGGTGTTTGGGTGGCCCGGTGGCTACATTGCCCAGGGCCCAGGCTGCTACCTTCTGGACTGAGGACTTGGGGTGCAGCAGGAGCTGGGGCAGTGCTCCCAGCATGCCCACATCAATGGCTGTCTGGGTCTGGCCATCCGTTCCCTTGACGATGTTGCCCACAGTGTAGAGAGAGGGGAGCTGGAAAACCAAGGCTCAAAGTGGAACCAAGTGTCACAAGTTTGGCACTGTGGAAGGTGGCAAGCACACCAAGACCTGTGCCCTCCCCAACATTGGTCCTGCTGTGCCGATGGCTCTCCGGAAGCCTGTGGATGTTGATGACATACTGACCCTTATTCATTCGGCACAGTGATGGCTGCTTACGAAGTTTGGAGCCACTGGGCAGCTTCCCAGCAGCAGTGGCTCTAGGGGAATAGAGGTGAAGGGACACCTTTGTCAGGAAAGGATGCTCTCCCTCTTCTATCTGTACATCAGGAATATGGTCAAAGTGACTGCGGTGTTTATAAAGTCTGTTCAGTCATATTTAGCACCGGAGCTGGTTTCTGTCGTTTACGTTATCGGAGCTGATGAGCTCCCGATGGCAACTGTGGGTACATTCACACCCCCTCTCAGTACCTCTGATGCTTTCCAGGCTGGGTCTACAGCTGGGCTCCAGACAGCCATCCTTGGAGGGCTGATTTTGGATTTATTTTGGTTTCTCTGCACTTTAGTGAGAGATAAGAGTTCTAGAATTTTCCTAGCCTATTATGCTGAGTGTCTGCTCCCCAAGTGAGAGGTGGAAGTATGCTGTGGGCCTATCACAGCCTTGCTCATCCCCAGGATAAGCGACTTCTTATTGATATTCTCTTCATTCCCTCCCTGCTCCCAGCACTATCCTTGAACCGACCTGGACATCTGAGGAATACTGCGCTAATCTCGGAGCACAGGACCCTCCCTGAGACTGCATAACACACAGGATTAGCCACAGACATCGAAAGGGGCACCCACATTTTAAATGACATTTTCAAGAAGTATATTATATAAGTGACATGTTTCATAACATAGCAAAGTATTGGGTTTTGGTTTGACTTACTTCTCACCTGCATCTGAAGTAGTCTTGGAGAACAAACGAGGGAAAGGATAAGAGGGCATTTTCTTTTATACTTGAGCATGGAACTCAAGTGTTACGTCAGCTTTACATTAATACACACATGCACACCCTGTATCAGCCAACTTGTTAACATCTGGGATTACAGGCAACTTTGATTTGGTGCTTTCTATAATTTCTAACGATCGGATGAAGAGAAAGCATGTTATTTAATACCCACAAGGATTTTAGATGAACACAATTCAAGTGTTTGGCTGAAGAGCAGTAGAGACCAGGGCAATGCAGACGGTGCACTTTGTTCCAGGTAAAGGACGAGAGCTGCGTGAGGGAGCCAGAGAGTGGGGGCAGAATGTAACTTGCTAAAGTCAATTCAACTCAAGACTCTAATCGGAAGTCTCACGCAGACAGAGGTAAGACCTGGGACATTTACCAAGATGTCAAACTCGGAGCTAGCCATGAGCTCCACCAGCCTGGGCAGCACCAGTATGTCAACCACTTGGCCGATGTGCCCGTCACAGACCTCGGTGAGGTAGGAGAGGGCCCTGCAGGTGTAGCAGAGCACCTCGCTGTCTCGGTGCCACAGGAGGCAGGAGAGGATGGACAATGTTGGCTTCACTGCCGTTTGGCAGGGTTGTAGGCCTTCCTTTTGGCACAGGTAGGACAGGGTCCTCGTGATGTGCTGCAAAAATGTGACCTGTCACAAGAGACTGCTTTCTAGTGTCAGGTGCAAATGGCAGTATGTCCTGCCATCTTTGATTGACATTACTGAGCAGGGTGAACAAAGAATTTGAGCTCCAAACAGGAATTTGTCCTAGGTAGTGATGTATCTCTGATAGGGACACAGAATGAGCTATATTTTTCCTATTCCGACACCAGATGGAGGTTTCCTGATATTCTCCAAAATGCCCTTACCTGCTCGACTCCACTGATGACCTCAATTCTTTTCTCACTGGCAAAACAGAGAGGAAGCAGGACTTCCTTGTTCTCCCACTGGTCTACAACCAACACATCAGAACCACACTTCTGATCTCCTCCGTTCAAGGATCAGTCTTCCAACCTTGACTCTGAAGTCCATCACTTTTCATCTTGAAAGATTCTGTCCTCGGGATCACCTCCCCCGCCTGCATCACTCCCGCCAGTATGGAAACACACTCTGTGACCTTCACCCCTCACCCTTCACCTCTCCAGCCATCGCCCCACTTCTGCTTTCCAGAGTCTGCCCTCGAGGAGGCAGCTGTACTCACTCTCTGCCTGGCAGCTTCCCGTCTGCGCTCTGCCCTCCTAGTCTGCTTTCCGACCCTGCCTCTTTGTAGCTAGTGATGAAATCGGCTCCTTCCAAGTCACTAAACCCCACAGCTGCTTTCTTTACTGTCCCTGGCAGTTGTATTCAGTCACCAATCGTTCCCACTTTGGCATCTGTGACACCGAACCTGGTTTTTCATTGCTGAATGGGCTGTTTCTTCTCGGTCTCCCCGGCAGGCTCTGCCCGACTCCTGAGTGTCAGAGCCCCTAGAACCTGGCCTTGGACTCTCCCCACACTCTGGGTCAGGGATGGGCCAAGTTCTCTGTAAAGGGATAGACAGTAAATGCTTTCAGCTCTGTGGGCCCACAGGGTCTCTGTTACACCTAGCCAGCGCTGCCCTTGTAACACACAGACAATTATGCATGTAAGGGAATGGGTGTGACTGTGTTCCAATAAAACTTTATTTACAAAAGCAAGCTGCTGACCCCTGCTTCATTGATCTTGCCCAGCTGGATGACGTGCATGTGCACAGGCACCTAGACTTGCATATCCACCCACCTGACGCTGCTGCCATGTCCTCTCACTCACCTCGAGTCAATATGTCCAACTAAGGACATATCTGACGCTTCCTCCCCTCCCTCTCCCCCATTTCCCTAGGAGGACAGTCATCTAAAGTGACCTAACCAGAACCTGGGCATCCATCCCGCTTCTTGCTGCCACTTCCATGTCTGGCACAGCAGCCTCCCAGGCCCATCGGCTTCCCCGTCTCCTTCTGCTGCAATCCTCCACCAAGCAGCCAGAAAGGGCCCTCTGAGAGATCAGACCACTTTACTTCCTGCCTGGAGGTCCTCCAAAGGCTTCCCTTTGCCACCAGGATGATGGCCAAGTGCCTTGTCCTACTTGCTGCATTCCACTGCTTTCTCCTCGCAAACTCCCTTGGCCATGGCAGCCCTTTTCTGGTTCAGCCATATCGGGTTTTCTCTCACCTCGAAGGCTGGGTGCATATTCCCTTGGCTCTTGGAGGCTATCTTCTCTTCCTTTTTATTTGACGCAAAGCCAGAAAGCAAATTTAATTTCTAATCCAGGGGGTCCTCTATTGTTGCCACATCGATCAACTATGACTCATCTTCAAACAGAAACCTTGTGACCTGGGACTGGGACGGGGGAGCCACTACTTCTGTCTGCACCCTCGAACAGTAGAGCCCAGCCGTCCGATGTTGCAGGATTGTAAACTGAAGAAAATCATAATGGACCTTTTCCAACGCTCTCGAAAGGAATCAGCACCACTGCTTGCTGAGGACAAGTGCAGAAGAATTTCTACCCAAAAAGACGTTCAGTCCTAGGCCTCGTTCATAATGGCAGCCCTAAGGGGCCAGGCAGCGACCACGTGACTTAGCATCGATTTGGAAATACGTCCTCAATTTTCCAACTTTGGGAACTTGTTACCAGCTAGGTTTTCTAATTCAAAGACGCTCCCTGGTACAGCTACTGGTGAGGGGGTGGAGGGGTCAAGTAAAAAGAGAAAAGGACTCATGGACCCACAGACAACAGTGTGGTCATTGTAATGGGAATGGGGTGTGAGGGGGTTAAATGGCGGTGGACAAAATACAATAAACAATAAATAAATAAACACAGACACTCACTGGCGTGGTTGATGAGATCAGGGCCAGCAGGCGTGGGATGGCATTGCTCGAGATGACAACGTCTCTGAATTCTGGGCCATCACCTACAAATAGACAAGAGCAGGACATCGAAAGAGGGGACAGAGAGGATCCTGGGATAGGTGACTAATGTTTAACAGTCTGTATAAAGCATGAGAGGCCACAACGCATTCCTGGGCTGGGCACCTAGAGAGCATAGTCCTGAGCTAGACCCTGAGTCTCCAGCATGTTGGTGGGTGGACGGGCCTGGTGTGAGAGCCGGCACCACACAGCAGTGGCTGCCCTCGGCAGAGCCTGCGGGCGCACACAGGGGCCAGCCAGCTGGGCCTGGGCAGGGCTCTCTCGGTGCTAACAGCGCTTACAGCACGGCTCTCAGGAAGACAGAGCAAACCGTCTTCCCAGGAGACCTCAGCCCAGGGCAGAAGCTTCCAGATACAACTCAGAACAGAGGCTGGGCGGTGGGCAGGTATTAGTCCTCAGCTGTCTGCGACTTTGGCTAGAACACCATATCTCTAGACCCTAGAAGTCTCAATGTACAATTCGTCAACCCTTGGGCAAGGTGTAAGTTATATCATACCACCCTGTTTTGCCTGGTCCTTACTGAACCAATCAAAATGAGAGACAAAGTCTCTATACTAGGTGCTTTACTTCTGCAAGCATTTCAAAAGCAGATATAGTTGACATTCTGTGTCTGCTAAGCCCAGTATCTGAAGTCCTTGGAGGTCTCATCCTACTATTTGTTTCTGCTGACTGGGTGGGGAAGGTTGTTGATTCTCTGAACTTGAAATTGCTACTGTTTGGCTGATCTTTGTCACGATGCTGAGGGGCCCAACAGAGCTTGCTTCCCCCAGAGAGCTCCGTATTTATACTCAGCCACGAATAGGCAGCTTCCAGCCCTGCGGCACGCAGTCCCCAGCTGCGCCGCCGTCCTGGACCACACTGAGGACACAGGCTCAAGTCCCAGCTCCAGCGGCCAATTTTAGGATTGTGTTTTCAGGGGAGACTCTTCCCCTAGGCTAAGGCATCAGTTTTGTGTATGTTCCCTTAGCAACTTTCTCTGGAGGTAGAATTTTTTATAAGGGTCTGTCAGAAGCCCCCACACTGTATGAGCCCAAAGCTTGTCCTTTGTTCCTGAAGCCACTAAGACCCGAGGGGACAGGACCTGGTATTGGCAGATGTCCCCAGGTAGCGTATAGCTTCAGGACACACTGTGTTATCTCTGGTTTCAGCTTCCATGTAGATAGGACCTCTGATCTTGACTCTGATTTTTGGAAATGCCTATTGTTGCTTTCCCCAGCATTTCTAGGCATTTATACTTAAAGTATCAAGGCCACAATACCACCCAAAGGACTCCCATAGCATGCCCCATGGCCGGCCCGCTATTTTCTTAGCCCCTGAGGGGAGGGTCTCACCTGCTATGTTACCAAGGGCCAACACAGCGTGTTTACACACATTCATATGGGGGGAAGACAGGAGCTCAACCAAGGCCTGGACGGCGCCCCCTTCCACGACGGCGTGAGTCTGCTCTGAAGACTCTGCCGAGATGCTGGTCAGAGCCCAGGCCGCCTCAAACTGCAAACAGGGGGCACGTGAGGACCTCAGGAATGCCACCAGCCTAGGAATGAGCCCCACTTTGACCATCAGCTTCACAGGAGGGTTCCTTTGCTCGGACAGTATTCTCCTGTGCAGCGAAGGAGGAAAAACAAAGAAATGGCATGTGAAGCCAGTACTAACTAAGAACCTCCTGGATGGATGTCCCTGGCGTTCTTCACTATCACCTGAGACAAACAGCTGGGTCAGAGCTACTTAGCAGCTGAGCATTTAGCCTGCAGCACTTCGCAGTGATGCAGCAATACTTCCCCTCCTGGTATTAGCTATCAGAGATTCCTGGAGAGGCCGATTTAAATTAAGCAATGCATCTCTGACAACCCTTGTGTATCCTAAGTGGCTCTCAAGGACAGTGTAGAGGAAATATTCAGTCTCACTTTCTGAGCGACTCGCCCGTCCTTATGTTGGGTGAGCATTCTGCCACTGCCAAGAAACCAAAGAGGCTATTGGAGCTCATTTCTGACTGTGAGCCTGTAAACAGCAGCAGCCCGTGTGGCGATACCTGGCAGCCTGGGCGGCCTGGAAACAGGATTCTGGATCTGAGGCATTCATGCCACTGATCATCTCCGGCAAGGTGAGGCTGACCTGCAAGGACACGTGCATTCGGGTCAGAGTCTCATTCGGGGACAGAAGACAACTCGCTGGTCTCAAGGTCTCACTGATCTCTGGGGTACCCCTCATGCTCTGGGGGAGAGTAATTCCTGTCACCACTTGGATCCCCAGAACCTTCTCATAACGCGCAGGAAGACCATGCAAGCGGACGTCAGTGAAAATGACAGAGTGAGGACTTCCAAAAATCCTCTCCTTCACAAAAGCAGCAAGAAAACTGACGATCGTCGGAATCAGCTTTTATAGAGCTCTAGAAACTGACCCAGGGCTTGCAGCAATTTGTTTTACTTAAGCTTAAGAGAGTTTATTTAAGAAAAATGTCTAGATCTCAGTGAGAACAGCGAGTGCCGTGGCATGATGTTTTGCCTTATTCCCACCCATCCGCTAGCTCCAGGCTAGCTTTGAAAACCAACCTCTCTCAGCAGCCACTGGAGTGAGCGCTTCCTGCAGATTCTTATTCCCAGACACTAGTATTCAACTGGGCTGGTAGTTCCCTGGGAGACCCCATTTGCAAGGTTTTCTTTATTTCATTTGACTCAGCTATCGCAGAGTGCAAAGGTCTTTTCCCTGGGGGCTTTTGTTTAAAGCATAGGTGGCAAACACAAGGCCTGTGGGCCGGATCCCGCCCTCTACCTTGTTTTATCCAGCTCAGCACCTTCTTTCTACGCTTACCTGCTAAGGAGTACTGACATTTATACAGTCCTAAAATCACATTTGGCTCTTTGAAGGCAACCGTGAGGCTGATGTGGCCCCTGGTGAAAATGAGTTTGACACCCCTGGTTTAAAGACAATTAGAGGAATTTGTTTAACTAGCTTTTGGAAGGAGGGGTGCTGGATAAGAGTTGGGGGCAAACAATAGACTAAGGTAAAAACATCACAGGAAAAGCTGGGGAACAAGATGTGGACAGAGGCTTTGCAAGCTCGGACACAGGCCTGGACACCTGGAAGGCAGGTGCTCACAGAAAACTGAGGGGCCCGGAGCCCTCACCTCCGGCCACTGCAGGCTGTGGTGAGTGAGCCCTGGCCCAACCCTTCACTTCCTATTGGCCGCCTGCTGAGTGTGGAAGGCACGCCCCAAGGTGCACACAGACCCCTGGGCAAAGACTGGGTGGACTTTCGGGTCCCAGTACTTCGGGAAATCTGTCCAATCGTGAGCTGACCACTGAGCTGCCTGAGCAGAGAACTCAGTGGCCACACGGAACAGAGAATAAAGATTCTACAGAATTAGTTGAGAAATCACTGAACAAAGAAACAACCACCAGAAACAACAAAGAAAATTGTGGGCAAAAGGACATCTGATATCCAAAGTTGCCACATTTTATTATTGAAAGTGACCAATTGTCAAAGAAATTGCAAGACCTGCAAAACATGGCATGTACACGTAAAAAAAATAAGTGAAAACTGTCCTTGAGGAGCCCAGACATTGAACTTACTGGACCAAGACTTTAACTGTGTTCAAAACAGCAAAGAGAACCATGTCCAAAGAACTAAGGAAAGTGTGGCAATGATGCCTCGCTAAATAGAGAACATTGATAAAAAGATATAGACTACAAATAGGAACCAACTAGAAATTCTGAAATTGGAGAGTACAGTTACTGAAGTGAAAAATTCACCAAAGGGGCTCATGGGCAGAGTTGAATAAACAATCAGTAAGCTTGAGGGTAGGTCAGCTGCGGTTATCCAGGCTGAGGAAAATAAATGAAAAAGAATAAACATGAACATTAACAGATCCTTATAGGTCTGTGGGACACCGTCAAGCATTCTAATACATGATGCATAACACAATGGAGAGGAGAGAAAGGGGCAGAAAGTATATTGGAAGAAATGATTTCCAAAAACCTCCCAAATTTGATTAAAAAATAATCTACACATTTGAGTAGCTCGATGAACCCCAAGAGAAAAACACCAGGAGATCCACATGTAGACACATCGTAATTGAACTGCTAAAAGCCCAGACTAAAGACAGAAACTTGAAAACCTCAAAAGAGAAGCGAGTCGTCATGCGTGATGCCTCGGTCAGATTAAGAGCTGATTTACCACCAGGAAGCATGGGGACCAGGAAGCAGCAGGATGGCCTGTTTTAAATGCCAAAAGACTACTAAGCAAAAATTCTATATCCAGCCAGCTATAATAAAGAGGAAATTAAGACATACCCAGGTAAAGGAAAACAGAGAGAATCTGTTGTTAGCAAGTCGACTGGACAAAAAAAGTTCCTCAGGTACTAAAAAGTAGACAATAATTAAAATCACTTTAAGAAATCAAGAACACCAGTGGAGATGCATACTGGTAAATACTAAAGACAAAAATATGAAGAAGTTTGGTTATAACTCTTTTTTACATAATTTAAAAGACAACTCAAAGCAATAGTTATAAATCTATGTTGATGAGCACACATGTATAAAGAGGTAACTTACATGGCAATGAGAGCACAGAAAATTTTTTTAATTAAAAATATAGCAAAAGAAACAAGGAAATTAAGATATTAAACTATTCAGCACGAAACATGACAGTGATAAAGGAGCAGGGGCACAAAGAGGACATACTAGCAAAATGGCAGACAGAAGTCCTATTTTTATCAGTAAGTGCACACGTAAATACATTAGACATTCCCAACGAAAAGCAAGGATTGCCAGAATGGATTTAAAAATTGTGATCCAACTATAAGCTGTCTACAAGAGACACATTTTAGATTCAAAGGCACAAATGGATTGACAATAAAAGGATTGAAGACAATATGTCGTGCAAATAGTAACCAAAGATAGCTGGAGTGGATAAACTAATGTTAGACTGAACAAACTTTAAGGCAAAAGTTGTTACTAAAGGCAGTGACATTTTATAATAGTCTGCTCGGCCATCAGAAAATGTTATAAACATATGCAAACCTGTCAACAACCCCTAAATCACATGCAACACAAACAAATGGAATTAAAGAGAGAAACAGAGAAGCCAAGAGTAGATGGAAACATCAAACCTCAAACTCAATAGTAGATGGAACAGCTAGATAGAATATCAACAAGTTAGTGGGAGACTTGAACAGCACTACAGACCAGCCAGACCTAACAGACATCTACACTAAAGAGCAGCAAAATACACATTCTCTTCAAGGGCATGTGGAATGTTCTCCGTGACAGATCATGTGACATGAAACAGGTCAGCAAATTTATAAGGACTGAAACCACGCAAAGTATGTTCTCCAACCACAATGAGATAAAATTAGAAACCACTAATAGGAGGAAAATTGGGAAATTCACAGATTTGTAGAAGTTAAAGGACATGCTCAGAGAAGAAGCCACAAGGGAGGGTAGAAAATACTTTGAGATGAATGAAACAAACAACATAAAACCAGTAAGATATAGCTAAAGTGCATCTCAGGGGGAAATAGCCATAAATCTATATATCAAAAAGGGAGAAAAATCTCAAATCCATAATCTAACTTTACACCTTGAAAAACTAGACAAATAAGAGCAAACTAAACCCAAAACCAGCAGCAGAGAGAAAACATGGACACTAGAGTGGAAGGAAATGAAACGGAGAATAACAGAATGGGAGAGGGAATCAATGAAACCAAAAGTTGGCTCAAATGATCAACAAAATGCCAAATCTTTAGCTAGACTGACCAGGAGAAAAAGAGAAGGCTCAAGTTATTAAAACCAGGAATGAAAGTAGGGTCATTACTACTAAACCCAGAGAAATAAAAAAGATTAGAGATTAGATAAACAAAGTATGCCTACAGATTAGATTATCTGATAAGGGACAAATCCCTAGGAATACACAAAGTGACTCAAGAAGAAATAGAAAATCTTAATAGACCTGTAACAAATGAATTATTAATTAAAAAAAAAAAGAAACTTCCACAAAAAGAAGCCTAGGCCCAGATTGTCTTCACTGCTGAATTTTCCAAAATATTTGAAGGGGAGTTAAAGCAATCCTTTATAAACTCTTCCAAAAAATAAAAGATGAGGGAACTTCCCAGCTCATTCTATGAGTCCAGCTTTACCTTGATACCAAACCAGACAAAGACATTACAAGAAAAACTAGAGACCAATGTCTCCCATAAATATATATGCAAACATCCTCAACCAATTCTAGGAAATAGAATGCACCAACATATGAACAGGATCATACATCATGGCCAAGTGGGATTGAACTCAGGAATGCAAGGGTCATCCAACACAGGAAAATCAATATAGTACACCATATTAATAGAATATAGAGGAAAAATATCACATTATTGTCTCAACAAATGCAAAAAAGGCATCTGACAATCCAGCACCCTCCTGTGATTAAAACAAAAATCAACAAACTAAAAATAAAAGGGAACTTCCTTAAACTGATAAAAAGAGCCATGAAAACCCCAGGGCTAGCATCACACTCAACGGTGAAAGACCGGAAGCTTCCCCCTCACCCCGAGAATCAGGGACGGAACAAGGATGTCCATGTTTATTACTTTCACTCAGCACAGTACTGGAAGTTGTAGTCAGGCTAATTAGACAGGAAAAAGAAATAAAAGGAAAGGAAGAAGTAAAACCATTTCTATTTCCAGATGTCATGACCTTGGATGTAGAAATCCTATGCACACAAAAATTTGGCCCTAATGAACAAGGTTTAGCTAGGTTACAGGATTAACATACAAAAATTCATTTTATTTCTATACATTAGCAATGAATAACTCAAAATTAAAAGAAGACAATTTTATTTACTGTAGTGCCAATAAAAGTATTTGGGAATAACTTTAACAAAAGTATAACACATATGCTGAAAATTGTAAATAAATGTAAAGAGGACCTAAGAAAATTTTAAAATATCCCATGTGTATGAATGGGAAGCCTTAACATTGTTAAGATGGCAAACTCCACAAACTGATCTCTAGATTCAACGCAATCTCCACTGAAAGCTGGGTTAATTCAAGGAATTGGAAAGCTGGTTCTAAAATTCATATGGAAATGCAAGGCATCTAGAATAGCCAAAATAACCTTAAAAAAGAAAAAGGAAAGACTCATATTTCCTCGTTTCAAAATCTACCATAAAACTCTACCTGGCTGGCGTAGCTCAGTGGATTGAGCGCGGGCTGCGAACCAAAGTGTGGCAGGTTCGATTCCCAGTCAGGGCACATGCCTGGGTTGCAGGCCGCGGCCCCCAGCAACCACACATTGATGTTTCTCTCTCTCTTTCTTCCTCCCTTCCCTCTCTAAAAATAAATAAATAAAATCTTTTAAAAAAACCTCTAGTAACTACATTTGTGTTGTGCAGGCATGAGGGTGAACATGGGAATCAACGGAAGAGAATTCAGAGTCCACAAATAAACCATCAAATTTATGGTCAGCTGACGTGTGACAAGGTCTTGAGACAATTCAATGGGGAGGGAATGGTCTCTTCAGCAAATGGTGCGGGGATGACTGGATATCCGCATGCAGAAAATGAAATTAGAGCCACATTTCTGTACTCACATTTACAGAAATTGAAAATGGGCCAATTACCTAAAGAGAAGAGGCAAAACATAAAACTCTTAGGAAAAAAACAAAGCATAAGTCTCAGGACCTTGGATGAGGCAATGGATTCTCAGATTTGATACCCGAAGCACATGCAACCAAAAAAAAAAAAAAAGAAAGAAAAGAAAAAAGTACATAAATTGGACTGTTTCAAAATCAAAAAACTTTTAGGCTTCAAGGATTCTATCAGAAAAGTGAAAAGATGACCAGCAGCATGGGAGCACATATTTGTAAATCATATACCTGCTAAGAGCCTGATATCAGAATATATAAAGAACTCTTACAACTCAAGACTAAAAGGACAAATTACATGATTTTTTAAATGGGCAAAGGGTTTACAATAGACAAAGCTCCAAAGAAATAAACACCCAATAAGCACATGAAAACATGCTCCTTGGTCATCAGAAACATGTGTCAGAACCACACCAGCACAGCCCGGTGCACGCAGTGGGCGGCTGCAACCCACGAATGGGCAGTAACAAAAGCTGGTTAGAACACCCAAATGTTCAATGGCGCAGGCACTTGGGAAAAACAGTTTGACAGCATGTTTCCTGTTGCTACTGTAAAAAATGCCAAAAATCTGCTGGCTTAAAACACTTGTCACAGTTCTGGAGGTCAGAAATCCATAGTCCATTTCCCTGGATTAAAGCCACGTTTCCTGCAGAGGAAGCTTCTAGTAGGGCTGCCTGTGTTCCTTGGCTTGTGACCGTCTCCTCCATTTTCAAAGCACAGCACACCAATGTCTGCTTTTGTCATCTGTCTCCTTCTGCTCTGGCTTGTTCTTCATCCTTCTGATGAGGAGGATTGATGCAATTACATTGGGCCCATCAGATAACTCAGGATAATCTCCCCAATCTTGAGATCCTTACTGTAACCATATGCACAAAGTCCTTTTCATCATACAAGGTAACATCCATAGGTTCTGGAGATTAGGAGATGGAGATCTTTGGAAGATAGGGGCAATTATTCAGCTCACCACAGGCAGTTCCTCAAAGGGTAGAACAGAGTTACCATATGACCCAGCAATGCCTCCTGTAGGCATGTACCCAGGAGACTTGAAAACGCGGTCTCCTAACAACTAGTACGCAAATGTTTGAAGCAGTGCCGTTCATAACCACGAAGATCTGGAAACCATGCAAATGTCTACCAGCTGATAAGTGGACAAACCAAAAGTGGTCTCTCCACACAAGGACATATTCAGCCCTGAAAGAAATGAAGGGCTGACACTGGCTACCACGTGGCTGAACCTTGAAAACATGCTGCTGAGTGAAAGAAGCCAGTCACCAAAGGGTGTGTATTGTATGGTTCCATATATATGAAATACTCAAATAGGTCAATGCAGAGGCAGAAAGTGGACGCATGCTCAGCAGAAGCTTGGGGGGAGGGAAGGAGGACCAAGGAGCGACTGCTTACTGCGTATGGCGTCTCCATTGGAGGTGGTGAGTGTGTTCTGAAATGAGCTAGTGGGGATGGCGGTGCCACCTGGTGAATATACCAAAAAACAGTGATTACAGACATTAAGAAGGTGAATTCCAAAGTACATGAATTATATTTCAGTATTTTTTAAGTCATGGTAATACAGGACAAAAAGGAAAATAACTCTTCCATTGTTTCGTCTTTCTTGGATGGGGGGATTTGGGGGACTATTCTGGGTACAGGAAGGTACGTAGAGATATGGTTCTGAGTCCCGAGACAGTTCAGGGAATGGTCGCAGCCACTCTATTTGATGCCCGAACACCCATGATCAAGTCCACCAGCCCAGACTGGAGCCATCTCTGCCCTCTGAGATCGCAAAAGGCACATAGACGCAACGGCCAGCAGATATAATGCCACTGGAGGTGGAAGAAGGGGAACCTCCAAGTCAGGCCATTCCGGAAAGGATCACAAAAACCAGCAGGAGCCTGGAAGTCAACCCAGGGTTTGTATCAGTGAGGTTGGGGTGGACAGAGGAAGGCTGGGGCAGGCTGCACTCAAGGCCGAGGCAAGACCTTCCACGATGAGCAGCGAGGCGCCTCTGCTGAGAGAGACCCTTCATGATCCTCATCCCCTGCTTCTGGCTGAGGCAAGTAGGGTCTTCTCGATCAGAAGCCGCACTTTTCCCCATAGGAGAAGCAACATCCCAGACTCATGACTGCAGAGGTGATGGCCCATGGCTTTCTGACAACACCAGTGTGGCTCTGACTATGATCTCTCCACCCCTTTCTTTCAAGGCCCCCATCAGAGCTTGCAGGTTCTGGATCAAACATTTCAAGCCAGGGAGAGTTCCTAAGCCCATATTTGATACACGACTGCTGCAGAAACACACAACCCCAACGTACCCGGATGGTCTCTTCTCGAGAAGCTGGGTCAGTGGAGAGACTAGTGATGTTTCTCCTCTCAAAGACCTGCTCATCTTTCTTGGCCTCCCGGAGCTGCAGGCTGACTGCTCTCTGCTGCCGTCGCTGCACCTGGTGAGGGAAAGAAATAGCTGGAACATAAGGGCTGGGAAGTCGGGCTGTGGGCACATCAGCCTTTCAAGCACGCTAGCAGCCCCTGGCTTCGCTTTCCAGGTTCCACAGGCTGGAAGAATTAAGATCGCACAGCCGCAAATAACCCCAGCTCCCTCTCCCTCCTCTGCCTTCTGCTACTGCCCCACATCTACAAGAATAGCCAGCCCTCCTCCCAAAGTCAAGGAGGATCAGGCACATCCCCGACAGGCCAGGACCCTCAGCTGCAGAGACATGTGAGCAGAGTGTCCTGTGGCCCTGAGCGCATCTTCACTGGTGCCCATCAGTTTCCGAAGAGCAGGGCTGGGCCTTCCAACTTCAGGGATCCGGGCGCGGCTGCCGACGGACCTCCCGGGCCCAGGGGTCCCCAACCATGTCCACTGGGATTGCGTCCCTCTCCGGGTCATTCAGATCTTAGTCCAGTCTCAAGAGATTTTACTTGGACACCAGACTGAGGGAGATTAAAATTTAAAATAAAAACAAGCCTTTTCTCATACCGAGCAACACTCAGGCTTTAGAGGATGGAGAATCCTGAAGAAATGACCTCACCTGTGTGGACAGAGAAGTTTTAGGCTGAAGACTTCAGTTCATGATTAATTTAAGAAAGCTTATGTGTATTAGATACTTCTGGCTCCTTCAACGACCCAGTAGTTCTTGCTGGGAAATAGGGTCACTTTGGTGATACCTGGCAAGGCAGGAGCACTCCCGGGGCCCACCGAGCCAGCTGCACTGTTGGCCCGTCACTGAGTGGCCCCGCCCCCTCCATTCTCCTTTCTCATCCCCTGGCCCTTCCCGCTGCTCCCCACCTAGAGGGTTCAATTCCTTTGTTTGGTTTCCTTTAATCTGCGTGGAAGCCAGACAGCCATGCCTATTGGACGGGGTGTGAGAGTGAGGTGGCTCTGGACGGTGCCCTGCCCAGGGGGCTTCTCCCCTCCTCAGCTGCCTTTCAGAATCCCAAGGTATATGACATCACAGTCAAAGTACACGGATGTAGGACTCAGAGCTCCAGCCCCAAACTGAACCCAGAGAGGGGGGGTGAGGGTTCGAATCCACACACAGCTCAGGCTCCCTGACCCAGGCTCTTGGGCTCAGCCCAGCAGGCAAAAGAGGAGTCTGGACTCTTCAGTTCCAAGTCCTACCTCTACAAGGCGTCCGGTCGGCCGCTAGCTCCTTGGTGAGCCTCCCTGACATCAGGGGCTGCAGTTAAGCGTCTCCGTGCCAGGCGTGCAGTCTACTCTCCTGTCCCCGTGAAGGAGGCGTCAGCCTGTTCTTCAAGCAGAGACACTGGAGCTCCGAAGTGGCCAGTTCCGAGGTCACATGGAGACCTTGACTTCAGTCCACAGCTGCCTGACTCCTCGAGTCCCTGAGCTTTTGTCCCCTCACTCTCAACGTTTTCCGATGCAAATGTCAAATAGACGGAGAAGTTGAACAGATTATTCAGTGAACACCACACACCTCTCCACAGTGGACATTTTGCTGTATTTGCTTTGTCACCCACCTTTTTTCCTAACTCTCCATTAGATTTTTTAAACATTCGCCTGAGGATACTCTCTTTTTTTTCTTTTCATTTATTGATTTGAGAGAGAGGAGGGGAGAGAGAGAGAAAGATTGATGTGGGAAACATCATTTGATTGCCTCCCACACACGCCCCAGCTGGACCTGCAACCTGGGTATGGGTCCTGACTGGGAATCGAACCTGCAACCTTCTGGTATATGGGAAGATGCTCCAGGCACCTGAGCCACCAAGCCAGGGCCACTCTATTTTTGAGGTGCTTCGACCATGTGCTTTTCACTGCACTCATCTTTGATGGGACAGGGCAGTTGCCTCATACTCACAGACGCGTCTTTGCCCCGGTATTTAAATTTTCTCAGCCTCTCTTCGGGAACTTCCAAAGTTGACATACTGATGGACGAAGTAAACCACCTGTAGGTAGGACAGTTATGAAGAGATTTTCAGTGCCCGGTGTGTGGGTTACTGTGTTAAACCCACCCAGGCTCAAAGCCCTTAAGGGGCTCCCAGTGGAACGGAGAGCAGGCTTAGGGGGTTGGCTTCCTGGAGTATCACCACGCCGGCTCGGCAGGTGAGCAGCACTGTGGGGGCTCCGAGGGGACCAGTCCCCGGCTGCAGATGGAAGGAAACCTTTTAGAGCCGGTTGGGCTTGAACAGGGCCTCCCATGGCTAGGGAGGGCCGAAAAGAAAGCATGGACCCCTTCCACGTGGCTGCGTCCAAGGAGCTCTCTACAGAGCGGAGGTGCAGGGTGGTGAGGAGTCCAACCGGCCTGCGGGAGGAGGGGGCCCTCTCCCCCACCCCCCATCCACCTGGTCCTTTGGGTCAGGACAGTCTCAAGCGTGACCCATGCCTTTTAATTCTTTAGTGACTGTCTCTGCCTGAACCAGCCCACCGCCATCTTTCAGCCACGCTGTGGCAGTCTCCTCCCAGCTGTTCTCCCTGCTTCTGCCACTGCCTTATTTGAGTCTGTTCTCTACACAGAAGCCACATGATCTTTTAAAGACAAGAATCTGATCATGTGATTTCTCCCACTTAAGAACCCTCTCCTGCCTGTCCATTGATCTTAGCAGCAAACTCAAACTCTCCATGACGCCCTGTGTGAGCTGGCCCCAGCCCACTCCCTCTCCAACAGCTTTCTCCCACCCAAGAATCTGAGTTCTTCCCACTCCATCCGTTTCATTTTCTCCACCGCTTTTTACCATAGCCCAGTGTTTCTTTGTTTCTTGTGCCTGTTCCTCCCCTGCTCCCAACCACAACAGGACTGTGTGTGTCTCAGGCACGATCCTCAGGCCCGTGGCAATGCACGGCGGATAGCAAGCATGTTCTCAAGTATTTGTTGGATGACAGTGGTGGGCGAGAAGGTCACAAAGGGAATTGTCCCTCAATGTGAGGACGTTATTAAAATCAGACCAAGTTTGAACTTTCTACAAGGACACAGGGAGGAGCTTTCTTAAAGGTGTGCAGTGTTTCCAAGTATGCGGAACGGGCAAAGCTATACTGCAGCAGACAGAAAGTTGGATGGAGAGGACCAGAGTCTGCTGACTCTGTTCTTGAGTGGACAACAGTTGAGAGTAAGCTTGGGGGGCGAGACGAACTTAGACGTACCAGTTTGGAAGGGAGAGTGTAGACAACTTGGAGAATTCCATAAGTGAGTAGAGAGCCAGGACTGATGTCTTAAGAAAAGGGATGAACTCTGTATGAGAACAGGCCAAGAACTGAGTCTTGGTGACATTCACATTAGCGCCCGACAGAACCAAGGACCAGCAAGAGACTAGGAGGACAAAAGGAGCTGGAGACAGAACAACAGAACATAGTGTCACAGGCCCTCCTAGGAACAGCTGGCTGCTAGGCCAGGGGCAAGTCCTAAGACCAAAGCACCACCAGCCACAGCATGTGCTTTGTTGGGGTGTTGGGGTGACAAGGTCAGTTTTAAAGTCCCCTTAGGAGCTTGAGCAAGAACAGCCTACAGCTGGTCTGCAAAGTCTCAAATGAAACATGCAAATGACTTCCTGGAGCTGACCCATCCCTCCCACAAGCCCGCCCCACTCCCACAGCTGGGTCTGGGGAAGTGGAGGGTGAGAACCTTTCAAAGGAACAGCAAGGAAGCCCTCAACCTCTCTGCTGACCTGATGAGGCCGTGTTGGCCCCCTGCCCCATCCCCACCTGCCTTGCAGAATACAGGGGCCCTCAGCAACTGTATATTTATCAAGAGAAGTACCTCACACCAATTGGCTTAAAACTATCTCAGGCTTTAGATGATTTCAATTCACAGTTGGAGCTGGAGGCAGCTTTGCCTGCAGCAACACGTCAGAAGCCAGCACTTCAGGAAGAGGGGGCCTGTGTTGCAGGACCATCTCAGCCCTGTAAGCTCAGGCCAGAGAGTAACTCACCATGTCCTCTCCTTTCCTCTACACTTTTAGGTAATCTCAGTGCTGCCCCAGAAAGAAGAAAAGAGTTGCTCTTTAGGACCAAAAGGTAAATCATTGTTATGAATTCTGACCTCCTTGAAAACACTATCTCAAAAGAGTTTTCCAGTTGCTGTAATCACCAGTTTCAAGAGGGTTATCAGGGGCAGTCTGAGATTTGGGTTTGATGAGAAGCCATATCCTACATCTCTAAGAGAGAAGACACGTGGCATTTTATCAGTCTGGAGTAGCCTAGTATTAGGGGACTATTTCAGAGAGCAATGGCCGGAACACGTTGGTTACGTGCCGGAGTGCTAGGCGCCGAGGAGTAAATTAAACAACATTAGCAATAAGGTAGAGACGGTCGCATTGTGCAGGTGGGAAAACCATCTCAGACGTCATTTCCCACAGAAACCCAGAGCCCCCACAGCTGCTACACGCCAGAGCCCGGCCTCCAGCCTCCATGCACCTGACCCCTATGTGAGGCTTGGGTCACTAAGCTTTGCAGCAAACACTCTGAAAAAGAAGTCTGGTCAGGAAAACACCAAGTCACCACCATGACACTCAACATGGGGTGAGACGCTGGAAAACAGGAAAGCACATGTTTTAGGCAACAGGAGCCGTGGGGGTCCCCTCGTTACTGTCTCGTCTGCTGTCAGTGACCTGCCAGCTCAGTTCCTGAGACCGAACATGCAACAGAAAGGAGTTTGGTACAAGGAGAGAAATGCCTTCCTCTAGGACCTTTGCCATCGGAACCATGCATCCTTCTGCCACAGTCCAGCGGGTATGGCCACAAGGAGCCTCGGCAGTGGAGTCGCGTTCAGAAGGCGGCTGCTCTCCTTCAAATCAGATGCTGAGCATGAGGCAGCACGAGCAGAAAGAGGGTGCTCCCCTCTCCGAGGCATTTTGAGGGAGCAGTTTAAAAAAACACAGATTTGGCCAAACCACTTCATCTGGAGACAGTCTGCAAAGCCAGCTGCAAAAAGAACCCTTCTGGCTCTCACAGGCCTCTCTACTCACAGCTCAAAGCGGTTTCCTTCCCTCACACTGCTATTGGCAGCAGCGGGGACAGCTAGCAACCCCGTCATCCTTTACCAGCAGCCTCTGGATTTAAGCTCCCAAGAAAGCCAAGCTGGTTATTGCAAAGGCCACCAAACTGCAGGGCTGTGTCTGCACCCCACCCCACCCCGACCTCAGGCTGGCTCTGCTGCTCCCCACACAGAGCCCTGCCCTGGGTGTCAGGAGGCAAATCCAAGCCAAGGGTGGCCAAGTCTTGCTCATGGTCCCGTCACTTTTTCTGGTTGGGACATTACAGGACATTTTGGGGTTTTTTTTTCTACACTTTTCTCGAGGTAGCCAAGCTTTGACTGCGAGCATCTTTCATGAACTCAGAACTGCATTAAATTAAGATCTATTTCAACATCCAAGAGTTGGCTTCTCTAACGCAGTATTTTTCTATTTTCAATTAATATAGCCTTTAGAAATGTGCTGAGCATGAACTCCCAATGACCCCACTTGTCCTCCAAGTTAACCTTTGAATCCTGCACCACCATCTGCATGCCCCAGCGCTCTGCACATGCACGGAGGGGACTACCTACACGATTTGGGGACATGTTTCTCCTCCTCACCTGTACAGTGGACATCTTTAATGTCAGTACGTTGAGATCTATGTCACTAACAGACATTCTCAAACAAAATAGGATTTGTTTGAAGCTAAAGCTGCATGTGGGAATGAGGCTTATTTCCCAGGAAGGCCTGAGCTGACCATGGCTCCGAGGCCACAGGTCTGCACGCAGACACCTCGGGGCTGGGGGGTGGGGTGCCGTCAGGGGTTGCGGGGCCCCAGGAAGCCGGCCCCATCTCAGCATACTCTGACTCCCCACAGGGCTTCGCCAACATGGGTAAGACAAGTGCAGACAACGAGTTTGATGCAGGGAGGCACACGGCCGGGCCTCCCTCCGGGGCTCACGCTGACCAGGAGGGGAGGCCGCTGTCACAGCAAAGGAGGAGGCAGGCAACCAGGCCCTCTTCCCAGTGACCCCACCTCCCAGGCTTGGGGAGGCTTTGTGGGAGGGTCAGACTGGGTGGAAAGCTCCCCCAGGTGCGAATGTCCAGAGGGACAGTCGGGGTGGGGGGTAACACGAACAAAGGCCACACAGGCTGCCGTGCGGTCACACGAGACTCTACGCACCCTGAGAGCTCCCCGCTGGGCTCTGCACAGCAAACGGGCACCCGCCATCTGCCACATCGTTCTCACCCATCCTGGAAGCAAGCAGAGGACCCCAAAAACAGCTTCTGTAAACCGAGGCCGAGTCCAACAAGGAGTCACCCCACCGTGGCCACCTGGGAGCCACAGGCTCTGGGAGGAACAGGACCGCAACACCTCGCTGGGGTCCCCAAACAGCTTCATGTGCATTACCCAAACAAGAGCAAGGTGTCTAGTCAAGCCCTAGAAAGAGGGCTTGGGGAGCACACAGCCACCCCAGGGACCTCGGGACCCTCACACACACAGACGCCGGCTACTCACCTGGCAGAGAGGTATAGCTGCTGTCTGCCCTCAGCAGGAGGCAGGTTCTGGGAGCATTTGTCCCGGCCCCACGAGGTTGGTTTCTGACTTAAGCTAATGGTTCTTACTCTGGATGCACATTGGAATGAAGTGAGTAGCTCTGAACATGCTGTGTGCCAGGGCCTTAGCCCAGAGATGAGCTGGTCTTGGTGGGGGCTGGGTGGGGGGGCAGGGGAGGTCTCCAGGTGATGCTCACTGCTGTGAGGTGCAGACAGGAGCCTCAGAGCTGGGGCCTGCAGGCTCTGCAGCTGCAGCCTTTTGACACCCTCAAGTGAACTATTAAAGGTGAGGGGCAGGGGCGTCTGCCTCCAGGAAGGGTTGCATTCTGGCTGCTCAGCTTCGGGGATGGCCAGATTGAGAACCCACTTCCTAAAGTCCCAGCCGTGGGCTTAAAGCTGATGTCGAGCGGTTAACAAACGTTTGTTCCCGTGGCAAGAAGACA